TCATGCTTGGGAGGGTGGAGGGACAGCGCAGGAGAGGAAGACCCTCGATGAAATGGATTGATTCAGTGACTAGGGTAAGGGGTGTAGGTGTGTCAGAGACAATAAGGTTGGCACAGGATAGAGCAGGATTTAGGGCTGTTGTACATAGGGTCACTATGAGTTGCAGGTGACTCGATGGCACATAATAACAATGAGAGATGGTGGGATCATTAGTGATTAGGAATGAAGTTTAAAGAAGATAGCTAGGGTAGATAAATTATCTGCTCTAATCCTAATAAATGTAAAATCTGCATGGAATGTGCTAATTAAGGAGCATAAATGCTGTACCAGCTGTTATTTATGATGACTTCATATATATGCCAGATAGCATGCCAAGTCTTACCTCATACAGTTTCTGTAACATTTCCAGTGCCCACTGGTGTTTTTATTCTCATTTTACAGATGAGTAAACTGAGATATGGAGAATTTCAGCAATTTTCCTGCTAACTTAAAGCTGAGCTTGACTCCAAACTTGATGCTTTAAATATACAGTGCTATTGTGCTTCTCCAAGTTCTTCTATTTCTGTATACTTTGTGCTTTAAAAAAATTAAAACTAGCATGAAATTTCTCAAGATAATTATCTTTCATCTTTAGGACCCTTTAAATTCTGGAGATGATGTTAGTGAACAGGATATACCAGATCTCTTTGACACGGATAATGTCATTGTCTGTCGGTATGACAAGGTACTGTATTCACTTCTTGGACTTGGGAATTTATTACTTGCATTTATTTTATAAAGGCATACAAAATGATGTAAATTCTAGTTTACAGTTAAATTACTCTTGACATAGCTCTTTATCTGAGTTTTGAGGGTGTGTTTTAGGTTGAGACTACTGTGCTGTCTCAGTGATTTCAAAAGAATTACAGTTTAAAATTTAAGGCTTTAACAAGCTTATTGAAACAAGATGTTCAGAATAATACACTGAGATGGCAGGTAAATCATGTGCTGAAATACCTGACATGTAAATCAGTAACAGGGAACTCTGATGGTTTAGTAGAAAGGAATTGGCGCTGTCAACCCAAAGGCAGCGTGCACATCTGCCAGATGTTCTGTGGGAAAAAGATGGGTAATCTCTTGTGCTAGTAACTGCCCGTGAAAATCCACTGGAGGATCAGATAGATAAAAGTCAGTCCCAACTCAACAGTATACAACAACAACAACAACTGCAGCTACTCAATAGCTAAGATGAATGGCACAATCCTGAAATGGCTGGGAAATGCAAGAGATCATTATAGATTATAGTTAGAGTGATCTTAAGATCATTCGTGAGTGGTGAGGGCCTTTGAAATGGACCTTGAGTGATTGATCAGTTTATATATTTGGAAGCGGGAGTAGCATCCACTTCGTAAACAACATGCCTCCAGAAACTGTGAGCTTTGATAAATGTCAATACTTGTAGAGGGTCTTCAGGCCTTTTGTTCATAGGGTTACTATGAGGCTATGTATGTGTTGTGCTTGCCTCAAAGGCAATCAGCAACAACAATATATATATGTGTGTGTATATATGTGTATACATATGTGTGTGTGTATATATATATGTGTGTATACGTGTGTGTGTGTGTATATATAATCTCGAGAATAGATACTCAAAGTAGAATACCAGGTGTAGAATAGAGGTGTGAGGGATAGTGAAGCCTTGAATGTTTTCTTTTTGGGTGTATTATAAATCTCATACTCCTTGGAAAAGTCTGTCATGCTTGAAAAGGTGTAGCGGGGAGCTCTGGTGGCCTATTGGCAAGGAGCTGCAACTACAATCCCAGAGGTGCACGGTTCAAATCCACCAGATGCTCTGCTGGGAAAGGAGGGGCAATCTCCTCCTGTACCAGTCAGATCTGATTTGACGGTACATGCACACAAAAATAATAAAATAAAAATATTTAAAAAAGGTGTAGGATCAGCCAATGAGAGGAAGAACCCCAGTGAGATGAATTGACAGGGTGTTGGATCAGTGGCCTCAAGTGTATCAAAGATGATGAGGCAAGCACAGGCTAGAACAGGGTTTAGGTCTGTGTGAATTGTACTTGACTGTACCTGACAACAACAGCAACAGTGTGAAGCTGCACTCAGTTGGAAAAAAGTACTGGTGGCAGCATTCCATCAGCAGGGAACTGCCAGAAATTCAAATGATTTAGAAGAGAATTTAGGCTGAGGGATATCCTTGGCGATATCAGCTAAATCTTGGTTGGAAGGAGTTGTTAGGTCCGTCGAGTGTGAACCAGCTCATGGTTGACTCTCCAGGCAGTTTTCAGAGGCATTAAATCACAGAGCGGAGACTGCCCCGCTTCCTCCTGAGGAGCGGCTAATGCATTTGAACTGCGTGCTTTTGCTTGGCAGTATAGCTCCTTCACACTAAGCCACCAGAGACCCCTGGTTGAAAGCACCCTGTGCAAAAGATGTTTATCTGTGTTTTGTTACCTGCAAAATAATTCAATTCTGAATCAGAAAATCAGAAAAAATTACGGATAAATGGAAATCCCAAAACATTTAGTTGTATTCGTGCTGAACTTGTACATAAACCAGAGGCAGTTCTGATCAGAACAAGGGGACACTGTATGTTTTAAAATAGGAAAGATGTGCATGAGGTGTGTATCTTTTTACTGTACTACTTCAGTCTGCAGACTAGGCACGTATAAAGAACATGATAGCATTTAGATTGGAGGAACACATGTTAACAATCAGTGCTATGCAGATCACAACTTTGCTTGCTCAAAGTAAAGAGGGTTTTAAGTACTTACTGATGAAAAGACGGCAGCTTTTAGAATGGATTGCCCCCAACATAGAGAAAACAAAGATCCTTAAAATTAGAGCAGTAAGGAACATCATGATAAAGACCAAAAAAGATTTAAGTTACACAGGATTTAATTACTTAGATCCACAGTCAGTGCACGTAAGAGCAACAATCAGGAACTCAAATGATGTATTGCACTGGGAGCATTTACAAACAGTATCTTTAAAGTGTTCTATAGCATAGATGTCAGTAAGGCTAGGGTGCACCTTATCTAAGCCATATTCATTTTATTTGCTTCATATGAATGTAAAGGTAGAAGAACTGATACCTTTAAATAGCAATGTTGAAAAAGAATATTGAATACACCATAGACTGCTAGAGAATGAACAAACCTGTCTTAGAAGAGGATCAGCTGAATATTCCTCACAGAAGCGAAGATGCAGAGTTTTAGTTGTACATACATTTAGTTTCTTATTAATAATATATTTCTTTCCCCCAATACAATGTGTATTTTTATTTCTTTTTTAAAAGTATATTGCTTTTAATGAAGAAACCATTATAAGGTACTAAGTTATATTTGCATTTACAGTATTTCAAAGAGTTTTCCAGACCATTATGGATAATAATATTTTTTATTGTGCTATGTTGTAGGAGATAGCTCACACTGTGGAGATTAATTGCATAGTTTTGTTTTTCAGTTTCTTCATACATTGTGTCTTAAAATAGCCGTGTAGAGTAGGCAGGAAGAGTGATACTGAGATGTGCAACGATTAGAAATCTGGTTATCTTAGAATACTCTTTTGTTCAGGAACTGTTTTAAGAATGCAGTTTCCATCTAATGGAAACTATAGCAATGAGGCAAGAATTGAAATATTTTTGAAGATGAGTAAAAAACTTGGAATAATAGTTAACAGAGAATGTCTATTAAAGGTTAAAGGAAACACTGCTACAGTGAATTTCTAAAAAGAATAACTTCCCATTTGTAGTCATTAGTTGACTTGTTTGAACTAGTATTAAATATAGTCTCACCCTAAGCAATTAAAAAATACTTTCGTTTCCTTTTAGTGCTTTTCTATTCAGTGTGTTTTGAAGGCAAGTAATACTCATTTCCCTGAAAGATGGTTAGAGATGGAGAATTTTAGTCCCACTCAGGAGTACTGCATGATAATACGCATTTTAATAAGATCAGCAGTTAATTCGTATGTACATTAAAGTTTGAGAAGCACTTTTTCTTTTCATTATATTTTATTTGGCTTTGATTGACATGTGGAATTTACCTTTAAAAAGTAGAGGAGTTTAAAAAAGGCTTAACATGTGCCATGAAAAAGGGCTTATTGATGGCCTCTGGTCTGCATCCTCTGGTTGCCTCATCTGTTGGACAGAAGGCCACATGACTCTGGTGGCTCGAATCTACCAGCTGCTCTTCCGGAGAAAGGCGAGTAGTCATCGTCTTCTGTTATAGTTTTGAAAAGTGATTGTCAGACCGCTGTGAGTTAGAACTCACTCGATGACCATGAGTGTGCGTGAGATACACTGAAAGAGGACTGGTTAAATAAAGGGGGTAGACATGTTCTTAGAACTCTGGAGAACGTCAGGATTAATATTAAGATTGAAGTAACAAGGATCTGGCAGAAAAGTTCAATGGTGAAATCTTTTAATACAGAGTATTTTGTTAGGAAGTCCTCAGTTTAAAACACTGAGCTGCTACCCTAACTTAAAGATCCAAGTTTACCTAGAAGCACCTCAGAAGTGAAACCTGGTGAAAAATTGACCGCTGAAAACCCTTAATCTAATTCTGCTCTAGTAATCCACAATTAGTCTTCATAAGTTAGAATTAGCTTGTCAGCAGCTAGGTCAGTGAGAGAAGATGACCTTCAGTGAATTGGCTTGACATCCTGACTATAACAGTGGACTTAAGTGTATCAAAGATGGTGAGGATGTCCTTTCAAAGGACAGGGCAGGGTACAGATTTACTGTTCATAGGGTCCCTAGGGGTCATGGCCGACTACATGGTACCTAACAACAACATCGTAATGGAATATGAAAATATTATGCTGCATCTTCATTTTATGTGTATTTATTCCTATAATTGTTTTTAATATTTAAATTTTAACCCACTTGATGTCTATGTTGGTGCATAATTATTGTTGTTAAGTGCTGTCGAGTTGCTTGTGACTTATAGTGACAGCTGTGAACAACAGCTCTGAAACCTGCTCTATCCTCTGCCACTTTACTGTCTCCGACACACTTACCCTTATTACTCTAGTCACTGTATCAATCCATCTCATCGATTATCTCCCTCTCTCCTTTCCTCCACCCTTCCAACCATGATGTCCTTCTCCAAGGACTGGTCCCTCCTTGTAACATGTCCAAAGTATGTCAGACGAAGCTTCACATTCCTTGCCCCCACGGAACAGGCCGGCTTCACCCTCTCCAGGGCAAACCTGTTCATTTTCTTAGCAGTCATAGTATATTCAGTACTCTTCTCCAACACCACTCAAAGACATCAATTCTATTTCTATCATCCCTGGTCATTGTTCAGCTCTCTGACATACAGCAAGCGATCAGGTGCACTTTACTCTCCAGGCTGACATCGTTGCTCTTCATTGCTCTGGACAGGTCCCTGACAGCTGACTGTACCAAAGCAAATCATCTCTTGATGCATAATGTAACATACAGTTAATTCCACCTTTCATTTTTATCAATGACTCCCAGTTGTCTTAACATCATTTATAGAAAAGTTTAATTTGTCCCTACTGATGGAGATAGTTCCATATACTATAATTTTGTAGTTAAGTCTACTTTATTTTTGTTCCATTCATGGAACAAAACAGTTTGTCTCTTCATGGACTGGGACTGAGCATGTTGTTGCCATTGAGTGGACTCTGATATATAGCGACCTTGTATGTACAACAGATTGAAACGTCCAGTTCTATGCCATCCTCACAATCTCC